TGGATGGATGGTGTGTGTGATGGTGGGGAGGTGGGGAGAGGGGGAGTTTAAGTCATGTGACATGCATCACTGGCTGAGGAAGAGAATTTTTGAGAGATCCCCTTGTTTAACTATTACCAACATACTGTTGACTGGGGGTATCTCTGCACTTGGAGCTGGGGGTTCGATTCCCAGCTTGAGGAGGTACTCACACAGCTCTCATTAATCTAGGATGCTAAATATAGAGTGTTGCCATGGCAGCACAAGTGCTGGGATGAGCTAGCCACCCTGAGTGTGTGCCTCTCAGATAATAGGTATGTAGGTTAACCCCTCCCACCATAGGTAGCACTCAGGAGGTGCATCACCCACAGTGCCCCTGCCACAATCTTAATTGCTAAATGGGATCCTCCTCATGCCTCCTCCCTGTTCCTCTAGGAGGCCTTTATTGTACCCCATCACTATGCAGGCACCAGGCACCTATGCCTCCCACTGCTGGTGCTGCCATGGCTACCTTCTACATGGATGGGAGCCTGTGTGAGTATATCTCCTCACATAGGCAGTCAGGCATGAACTGCATGGGCAGAACTGTGTACAGGCCCAGAAGTCTAGTAACAGGAGGGGTCGCAGCTCCAGAGAGAGATGCCTGGAGAGAACCCCACTCTAGCCAGTTTTATCAGTCTCCAGTATTCAACTTTAAAATTCACCAGTAAACAACTAAATACAATGCAGCCAGGTTCTTCAGGATCAGCCAGCAGCCAGACCTTGTCCTGCTTCTCCCATACAACCCCAAAACCACAACCGATTGGTGAAGTTGCCGGATGAGAAATGGATTTAATTGACAGTGGATTATTTCTCCTTGCCACCAGGGAGAGAAGGGAGATGCTGGCAATGCACTAGGGGGAGGTAAAGGAGAACTCGGGCCCCCGGGACTACCTGGGCCTCCAGGACCAAAGGTGCGTCTCTTTCCTGCAGTAGATTCTGTGTTTCCTTTTTGCAGAGCATATACTAGGGTATTTAGGAAGGGATTGAAGTTTACATTCATCTGCACCTGGTTTTAATTATGTACTGAGGGGAAGGGTTCATAAGCTAGCCAGCTCCTGCAGAGTTCTGTAGTTTGTTATTTAAATTCTGAAGGTCAGAAAACTTATGAACTGCATTTCCTGGGGGGGAAATCCTACAAAAGATTTATTGTAGGGAACCAGCATGCAATCCCTCAGTTTCACTGCCAGTGTCTGGTGCCATAGATGCCAGCTGAGACGGCATTAACATTATGTATCAGGACTGGGGACCTCCTCTCTTGTTATGTTCCTACCTAGAAACCAGCATTCCTCAAACCACACCTCATAGCAGAGGATATTTAGCATTTCTAGGACTAGTTCTCTTCACAGCACAGTTAAGAGATGACCCATTGGTCCCAGTTCATACCACCCATTCACTTTGTTGCACCTTACAAACTCAACAAGACCTTAGCCCGTGGGAAATGTAGAAATGGGACTCAGCCCAGTACTCTGAAAATCTTGTAAGATTTGAGCTTGTGGATTGCGCCCTGTCTGAAATGCGGCAGGTCTAACAGCTGACCTCCAGCACATCCATTGTTGGAATTGCTTCTTTCTGCACATTTATATTAATCTGTTGCTTTTCTCTTTTTTCTTAGGGGGAAGCTGGTGACATTGGCCAGAGCGGCAATGCAGGACCGCCCGGGGAAAAGGTACAGAGGAAGAGGGCACAACAGGGGGCTTATGGTTTAGCAGAGGATTTCAGGCCAGGGAGTTCAGTTACAGACAGTAGAGCAACAGGAAAATTGTTTCACAATACAATTTCCCCTCAAACAATACCTGATGGCTCCAGTCAGTCATTAAAAGAAACAAAAATTTTCTCTAGTACATATAACATTTTCTGCAGAGTCTGCACATCCAAAGCAATCAGAGCAGTATTAATCAACAAGCCTTGGTCGGGAGTGCAACAGTATTTGCAGGAAGAAGGCAAACAAGCAGCAGAGGAAAGCCCAAGCATGCAGGGAGACTCTGAGGATTGATCAACCAGCCCACAGCTCGCAATTGCAGTTACGTAGTACAGGAGCTATGGCATCATGCTGGCTGTCCAGAGTTGCAGATTGGTGGGATGGTGGGAAGGGACTAAGGAAACAAGCTGAGAATAAGAAGTGTGGAGCTAGACAAGGAGAAAGCTCTGGGAAAAGAAAGGGTTGCTCTGGGAAAAGAAAGAGTCAGACTGACTCTGCAGTATGTCAGGGAGACTCCCATTTGTACCAAACTCCCAACTCCTGCTTGAATAGTGTTATCACCCTCATAAAACGACATCACCAAGAATCTTGTGCATTAGCCACACGTGCACATCACTTTCCGTGTGAGTCAGCAAGAGAGGCTGATGCACATGTGCACCTGGCACACAAGATTCTGGGTAATATACCTGACCTCTGCTCTGCTTCTGCCAGTGGAAGGCTGAAAAGGATGTGTGTCTGATGGTGATGCAGAGCTGAAGCAGTGCAAAGTGGTGGCTGGACAATATATCAGAGAGGAGTTCATGCCCCATTTCCCCCAGGCCTTCCCTGCAGCAGGGTGTAGGTGAATAAGGGATTTAGAGAGGAGAACTTTCCTACTCATCTTCAGTACTCAGCTTAGCAGGGGTTGTACATCAGGTGGGGGGGATCATACCCTATTCTCCCAGGCTTTTGGGTACAAGAGGCGGGCTAAGACACCCTCCTCTTTCAGGACTTGTCATAGCAGAGAAGTGGGGGGTTGCACAGGTCTGTTTTTTCTTTGAGTGCTTTCTCATGTCCATTCTGATTAGGAGTGTGCGCACCACCTGCACGAATTCCAGAGCTTTTTTCCCTTAGCAGTATCCATAGGGCCAGCAGGGAGCCCCTGGAGTGGCGCCGGTATACCCCTGCTGGCCTCTCCACCCCCTCAGTTCCTTTTTTCTGCCAGTGATGGTAGTTGGAGTGTGGGCTTAGGGCTGTTAGCCTACCCATAGCAGTGGTATCTCTCTCTTTCATTGTAATACAGTTAGATTTAGTGTAAATACTGTTAAGTAGCCATTAAGTAGTGTAAATAGTTAGCTCTGAAGAGCTCAGCGGGACTCTTCCGGACAGGGGAGGGGATTCCAGGGCCCCAGGGCTTCAAACCCTGTGGTTCCTGCTCGAAGCCTATGCCCTGTGGAGACCCACATTCCTCCTGCTTACAGTGCCTCGGGGAGGCCCACCGAGCAGAAAGCTGCTCCATCTGCAGGGGGTTTAAACCCAGAACTAAGAGAGAAAGAGACTCTTGTTTAAAACTTTTGTTAATGGAGGTAGCACTACAGCCTCAGAGTGAGGAACGGCCCCAGTCCATCTGCAGCGCACCGTCAGAGACAGCCGCAGCACTGGACAAGCGCCAGACAGCTACCCCTAAGGCGCCCAGGCACAGATCGCAGTCGCCGGCACTGAGGAGCTCCAAAGGCTCAAGGGGCCGTTTGACAGAGAGGCATGGTCACAAAGTGCGCCCTAAGGAGGGGCACTTGACCTCTAAAGTGCCGAGAAGGAGGAGCAGCTGGAGTAAGACCTGGGGCCTGGAGCAGGAATTGAGCATGGGGGATGTGCAGCGCCCATCTACCCCAGAAACCTTCGATGTAGTGAGGGAGCTCATTGAACTGATAACAACAGAACTGGAGGGCCGGGTGCCGCAAGTGCGGGCTGCACCTCCCCATGGCACGGGGACCCCCCTTCCGGCACCTTCAGTGGGGCAGTGGAACCCTCAGGGGCCGGCGCACACTTTGCAGCAGCCATTCCAAGCACTGGTGCAGGCACTGGCGTCACCACCGGCACGGGGCAGACACCAGCACCGTGGCAGCCAGCACAGGCACCAGCGGCACCAGTATTCTCCTACCCCGGGACTCTCACAGCACCGGGTCTAAGGGCACTGGAACCAACGGTGCAGCCAAAGGCAGCCCAGGCGGCACCAGGGGCGGTACACCAATATACCGCATATGTGTTGGCACCATTCACAAGGCCACAGGAGGGGCCGGCGCCGGTACTGAGTCATCCACTGGCAGTGCTGGCACTGAAATAGACGGTGTCTTACGCAGCACTGACGATAACGCCTATCCCGGCACCGATCGCGGCACCGGGCCAGTTCCAGATGGCCTCCCCCGGCGCAGCACCCTCCAGTACCGCTGATACCCACGGTACAGCAGGGATATCTCCCAGCGTACCAGCTGCCAGTGGACTCTAGATAAGCCCAGCAGATGCTTCCTCCGGCACAGTGCCCAGTGCATAGGGGCAAACCATCGGCCATGGCTGCGCACTGAAAAGAACAAAGCTCAATGGCCCCACCTTGGTTGGTGTCGGACAATTCGTCAGAGTCTGAGGCTGAATCGGTGAGGTCTGTTAGGTCATCCTACAGCTCTCAGAGTCAGCACCGGTCACAGTCAAGCATTAGGTCAGAGTCTACTGAGGCAGCTGATCAGCAGCAGTGGCAGACGCAGTGGCAGTGCCAACCACAGTGGCCCTTCTGGACGCTGTGGGCATACCACCAGGCGCAGAGCCCACCCCCAATGATGTCAGTGCCAGGGTCATCTCGGAGGAGTAGTGTCCCTTCTGCCACACCGCTGAGAGCCCCTCCATCAGAGGCGATGACTTCGGCCAGGCCACCAGTGGTTGGTCAAGTACAAGGTGACCCAGTCACACCGATGGGCTCAGTGCAAGTGGACCCTCTATCCCTCAAGGTTACAGGGGCACCAACAGGAGGAGAAGACCTAGAACCACCCAGAGAGTCTTCCTCCTCCTCGCCTGATGAGGCGCTGGCGGATCTAGCACCCCAACTCCCCTCCATGGACACCGGGGCTCACCAGGCCCTGTTAAGGAGACTGGCCTCCAACCTGGTGGTGCAGATGGAGGAGGCACAAAAGGACCTGGACCCCATGGTGGATATTCTATCGGTGTCGGGCCCGAGTCGAGTTGCACTGCCACTGAATAAGACGGTGGATAGGCTGTCCAAGATGCTGTGACAGATGCCGGCGTCAATACCACCGATGCAGAAGAGGGTGGAGAGACGATACTTTGTACCCTAAGCGGGGCATGAACATCTTTTCACCCACCCTGTCCCGGGATCCATAGTGGTGCAGGCGGCAGGGCAAAAAGAGCGACAAGGCCTCCCGGGTCCAACACCAAAGGCCAAGGACCCGAAAAAGCTGGACCTCCTGGGCAGAAAGACCTATGCTATGCCATGGGAGGCCTGCAGCTCCATATTGCGAATCAGCAGGCAATGCTAGGGTGCTACGCCTTTAACACCTGGGCGTCGGTTCAGAAGTTCGGGGAGCGCCAAGAATTTGGGGCACTCACAGAGGAAGGGAAGGCTGTGGCGAGCACAACCCTGCAAGCGGCCTTGGATGCAGCGGACTCTGCGGCTCGGACCTTGGCCACAGCGATGGTTATGAGGCGTAGTGCGTGGTTACAGGTGTCCGGCATTCCAACGGAGGTGCAAGCCACCATACAAGACCTCCCATTTGAAGGGCCGGGCCTGTTCTCTGAGCAGACCGACTCGAGACTCTATGGCTTGAAGGACTCAAAGGCAACTTTGAGATCCCTAGGAATTCATACCCCGGAACCCCTGAGACGGCCCTTCAACCATAGGCCATACCAGTGGCCTTTCCAACGGGGGTTTGGGCCAGACAGAGGGTGATGCAGGGGTTGTAATAGTGTGTCAAAGTTAGACAGGACTCTCAGATTTGTCAGACCTCTCTGTTTATTCAGCAAAGCTGCTCAACTAAATTAACCCAGAAAATGTGAGTACCATACAAGGTTCAAACCCCTTGATTTATACAGTCAAAAGAAAGTCAAGTTAACAGGATTAAAAGGAGGGGCAAAACTTCACATGATTAGTGTGAGACTTAGTCAAGTATCTTCATTTCAACATCAAGCACACAGCAATCTCCGGTCCATATCTCCCTGGTTATTTTAATTGCTTTCTGCTTAACACTTAATGTTCCTTTTCTTGTTAACTCAGGCCCACCTGGCTAGCACATTGATCTGCATACCTACAAACAACATTAACATACTTTTCTTCTTCCTGTTCAGAGACAAACAATATTCCTTCAACTTATTCAATTATTACAGCACAATTCATCTTTCTCTTACATTATAATTCTTTCTACTTTCACAAGTGGCAGCCCTGATCAGTTCAGGGTCAGGTGCAGAGGCCCCAGGGTGGATTCAGAGAGAGGGTCAACCCCATTGCTTACTCAACAACCAAGTTGTCCTTTTGAGGGTATGCTCAAGAGTGGAGTACCAGTAGACCCTCCCATCCCCCCTTTTGGTTGCTGCCTGTCCCTGTACTATCAGGCTTGGTCTCAAATTCCATCGGACCGCTGGGTGCTCGACCTGGTGGCGCAGGGATACGCCCTACCCTTCCTCTCTTCACCCCCCTCCCACCCCACCTCCCTGTCTCACAAGACACTTCTCACAAGACTCTTCTCAGGCAGGAGGCCTCCAGCCTCCTGTCGCTGGGAGCCATAGAACAGGTTCCTCCAGGGTTCAGGGGAAGGGGATTCTACTCCTGTTATTTTCTCATCCCCAAGGCGAAGGGAGACCTGCGTATACGTATACGGTATTCTTTAAAGATAAGGTGAGGATGCGTCCTCACCCAGGGTTCCTACCCAAGGTGGTGTCACACTTTCACCTTTCCCAGGACATTTATGTAGCAGTACTTTACCCCAAACCGCACTCCACACCCAGGGAACAGGCCCTGCACTGTTTGGATGTTGGGAGGGCACTGGCCTTTTACATAGAGAGGACTCGGGAGTTCCGTAAGCCACCTCAGTTGTTTATTTCTGTGGCAGAAAGAATGAAAAATTTGCCTATCTCAGCTCAGCGTTTGTCCTCGTGGATTACTTCTTGCATCCGGGAGTGCTACGATGGTGCGGGCAAGCATCCACCACTGCTGACGGTCCATTCTATGAGGGCCCAGGTGACCTCAGCGGCATTTCTAGCGCGTGTGCCGATCCTGGAGATTTGTAAGGCAGCCATATGGTCATCAGTACACACATTCGCGGAACATTACTCTGTCACGCAGTTGGCCAGGGAGGATGCCGCGGTTGGGGCGGCAGTTCTGAGGTCTGCTAAAGTATAATCAGGAGTCACCTTCCAACCCCGCTCCAACAGAACGGCTAGGGAGTCACCTAATCAGAATGGACATGAGCAAGCACTTGAAGAAGAAGAGGTTACTTACCTCGTAACTGTTGTTCTTCGAGATGTGTTGCTCATGTCCATTCTACATCCTACCCACCTCCCCTTGTCGGAAGTAGGCTCCCTGCTGACCCTATGGATACTGCTAAGGGAAAAAAAGCTCCGGAATCTGTGCACGTAGCATGCACACACCTAATCAGAATGGACATGAGCAACACATCTCAAAGAACAACAGTTACGAAGTAAGTAACCTCTTCTTTTTCTGCAAAAACCCTGCCAAGAGTCAGTGTTTTATCTCTGCTTTCCTAGATGTAAGTGTGGGCCTGTCTCCCCAAAGGCTGCCTATGGGTGAGCTCATTATTGTCTGGCCAGAGCAGTTCTGTAATTCTTTTTGCCCCACTGTGTGTATTCTAGCATACAAGGTTCTGGGTGGGCAGGAGTACAAGAGTACAGGGGATGGCAGTGGGGGTGTTGGTGGCGCTGAAGCAGGGGCAATGAGGCAAGCGGGATATGGTGAGAGGGAGGGAGAATGCAGTGTAGGTATTTCCTGGGACAGGGGTGGGATGCTCTCTGAAATTAGTTTGAAAATGTCGATCAGTGTCCTAGTGAGACAGGGAGGGCTGAAAATCAGGAATTCTGTGATCTGGAAGGAACAGGGAGGGGCTCTAGTGGGTCAGAGTAGAGGGGACCTTGATGGGGCTAGTGGAGGTAGGGGGATGCTCCTTGAAATCAATTTGAACATGTTGATCAGTGCTACTGCGGTACAGTGGAAGTGCTTCTTTCAAAAATGTTGTATCAAGAACTGGGTCTAAAGGGTTAGGAAAATAGGAGGAGAGGACAATGTTTTAAGGCCTGCAGGTTCTCCCTTGGCTGAACAATATTTTTAAACAAACAGCTTATGAATAAAGAATATACTAGATAGTGTTGTGGAATGGTGATAGTGGGGCATAAACTAGGTTCAAAACTATGTTTTTTCTAGATTCTTCTAGTATGCTGAAATAGCAACTACTTCTTTAAAAAGTATCAGCGGGGTAGCCGTGTTAGTCTGTAACTTTAAAAACAACAAGTAGTCCTGGACTTCTCATTGCTTCTTAAAAGTCGTTCCAGGTTCTACACTGCAAGTAGAAACTGCCGCTGTAATTACAACAATAAGTGATTTTAGCTGAACACCCTGAAATAAGAAAAAGAAATGTGGGTTACATGTATACAAATGCAGTTTCTAGAGAGAGCATGGTCTCCTCCATTGGAAAGCAATAGTTTCCGTATTTGGTTCTTTGTTTGCTTTACTTTGTAATATAAAGATGCAGCACTTGGGACTGCATTTAATGGTCAATGCTGAAATGTGAGCTTTCCTGTCTCATTTGAAGTCCAAACAAGATGTCAGCTTATCAGGCACTTATATGCAGTGTCTGCATCAGTGTTTCTTAAACTGTGTTCCATAGCACACTGGTGTGCCGCTAGGCAGTCGGAGGTGTGCCACGGAGAACAACAGAATTCAAAATGGCCGCCCTTAAAGGGGCAGGCAACTTTTTTTTTTTGCTCAATAACTTCCCCCAACCCTTTTTTTCTCAATAACTTCCCTCCCAACCCTTCCCCCCACACAAACACCTTTTTTTTCTGCTTAACAAAAAATCCTTGGTGTTCCTCATAAAAAAAATTATTCTTTGGTGTTCCTCAAAGAGGAGACATAGGGAACAGAGATTTGGCTCTGTCATTTTTGAGTGCACTGGCTAGCACAGTGGGCCAGCATGAGGTGTGGGAGTAGTAATTTGCTACTGGTATAGGTCTGTAGCAAATTATAATTCCCCACTGGGTCCAGGAGGATACGTCTACACAGCAGCGTTATTTCGAAATAACATAGCCAGCGTCTACACTACAAGCAGTTATTTCGACCTAATGTCAAAATAATGTTGAGCTGGAGGACTTCTTACTCCGATCCTGTAACCCTTGTTTTATGAAGAATAAAGGAAGTTGGAGGAAGAGTGCTGTTTCTTGGATTTCCTGCTGGGTAGACAATGCCACAAGACGAATTAAGCTATTTAGACTTGAGCTATGCAATTGGCGTAGCTGAAGTTGTGGAGCGCTTGAGCTATGCAATTGGTGTAGCTGAAGTTGTGGAGCTTATTCTGACTTTAGCCCTGCTGTGTAGATGTACCCAGAGAGAACAGGGAAGAATAAATCCTTCTGCAGGGTGATTCTGGAGTGACACAGCTACCCACTGGCCCTTACACAGAGTTGATGTTTTGCACAATCTAACCCTAAATCAGTTCATAGTCGCAGCAAAATACTCCAAGCCTTGATAATGCAATGTCTGTATCATTACAGGGAGAACCTGGAGCACCCGGAGAACAAGGGCCTGTTGGTCCCAGAGTAGGTGCTACCCTAATAAAGGGACTTTATTCATGAAAATTTAAGAAAATTTTAAGAGAAGATAATTTGCCCTATTTCAGTGGTTCTTAAAGTGTGGTCCGCAGACCACTAGAGGTCCGTGACAGTCTTGAGGGTGGGCCACAGGCTCGGGGCTCCCAACCCCCCAAAATGGGAAGCCTGCACTGGCTCTCCAACCCTCCCCCGAGAGGTTGGAGTGCCAGCGCTGGCTTCCCACCGAGGGAGAAGGGGGGCAAAGTGAGCCTCACAGCCTAGATATCGGTTGCAGGGGAAGAAAGAGGCTCCACACACTCTAACCCCTTCCCCCGCCTGGGGGAACAGCAGCGCAGAAAACTGCTCACCTGGAGGCTTTCCCTGCTGCTCCCATTGGCCAGAATCAATGCCAGTGGGAGCAGTGGGGGGCACGGAGCCAGGTAAGCACCTCCCATCCCCCTCATGCTCAGACCCTGCACTCCCATTCCCCTCATGCACCCCCATTCCTCCACCCAGATCCCCTCTCTCAGCTAGACCCCCATCTCCAGCCTGTTTCTGCATCCAACCTCTCAGCCAGACCCTCACCCTAGCCTGCTCCTGCACCCAACTTCCTGGCCAGATCCCCCTACCTCCAGCCTGCTCCTGTGCCCAAACTCCAGCCAGACCTTTCCACCTCTATTTGTACCCAGTCTGTCACCATAGGTATGTCGCCCCGCTTATGCAAATGAAGCCCGGGAAATTCAAATCCCGGGCTTCATTTGCAATTGCGGTATGCCTACATTACCCCGCTAGTTTGAACTAGCGGGGTAGTGTAGACATACCCCATGAATGGTTGGTTGGTGGTCCCCTGAAAGGTCTGTTTGAGAACAACTGCCCTATTTAAATGGCTTCCAGACTATTTTCCAAGTGTTTCACCAAACCCCTTCACCACAATTCATGGGTTTATAGCTTGTTTGTATTGCCATAGTTGGGTAAGGTTACTGTAGCTTACTGGTGAATCCGACCCATACAATCTAAGAGCAACAAGTTTAGCAACACTCATAATACTACATGTTGGAGTCTTCCTGCCATAAGCACTTCCCCGCAGTTGCATTTATCAATTGTTCCTTGAAAGCTGTAACTTAGAAGAATTAACACAACTCCATTCTGTGTGGGAGTACCAAGTTCTGACTGGAGATCTGGGTCCTTTTACAGGGTCCCAAAGGTGAGCCAGGAAAGAATGAACTGGTGGATTATGACGGTAACCTCAATGAAGCTCTGCGGGTGAGAACTTAGCAGTCTTATCTAGTATAGTAATAAA